CTTCTGTCTTCAATGTGCCATCAAATCGCCATACCACCTGGTACAGATAGATGAGACCAGCTCTCCTGTCTTCAAGAAAAAATTAAGAAACAAAAATCCTGATCTTGTCATTGAAGGTAGAGCTCCCTTCCCCTCCACCATCCACCCAGCCACCCCACCCATGCCCAGATGCCCTGGGGTGGAAGGAAACACCACGTCCCCATCACATTGTCAGACTGGGTCACCATCTTGCAATTTGATATGCAAGTCAGCTCCTATCCCAGTGTTTTATGGCCCATCTGCACTGGGTTCTGCCATGGGGACCCTGATTGAATGCTGGAAGAATCGTGGCAGAGATGCAGAAAAACAGCTCGTCCGTAAATCAGAAGTCAGGACCATCTGTCGGGTCCAGGAAGGAAACGCTCGGTGAACAAAATGGTGCCCTCCATGAATGGACACAGGTGTCCTTCCAAATGCATTGACATCATTTAACCCTTATCCACTTGATCATGGGCAAAAGAGACCCTGAAGGTCAGGAGAAATAAGGAAAGTGTAGAGCTTAGATCCCATCATCACATCATTAGCCAACATCTGGGAATATTTTCCCACCGATTTTTGATTTTCAATGGCGTCTTAGGAGATTGATCATGTTCATCAGATCAACAGAGTAGACTACGGCTCCACGATTGTCTTTAAGTCTCTTTCCCAGGATCCTACAACCCTCATAGATTTGAGTCCTTGCTATTGACCCACAGGGAGATGCAGGGGGTCCACATCACTCCTTTGGGAAAGATGGCGGAGCTTTAGATTGGCGGGATGGAGACCGACTCTCAGAGCTGGGATCTTCAATGTCCCCCGCCAGCCTGGGTGTGGAAGGCTTGGTCCCCAGTGCCAAGTTTGCTCCATCTTCCAAATCAATCCTTTTGTGTGTAGATGCGTCATTTATAGTTCGTGGAAGATTAATTCATCAGTCCCCTGAGACATCGCCATTGAACCATTGAGGAAGTGACAGAGAGTTTGGAAACCATCAGGACCACCCCCAAAAGGTGGTTCCTCTGGGAACAGGAGCCCATCCTAAGCTCATATTGCGGGAGCCAGAGGACCCCACTGTGAGGATTTGGACCAACTCTTTCCTGAGTGTGTGGTTTGGACCTGGAGTCACCCTCAAAGGCTCATTTGTTGAAGACATGGTCCCCAATGCAGCTCTAGAGTAGTGACAGGATCATGAGATCTGATAGCACCAATGGATTGATCCACTTAAACATTTCATGGACCAATCCCTTGACAGCCAACTGGATGGCTGAGAGGTGGGTCCTACCTGGAGGAGAGCAGTCACTCGGGGTGTGTGGCAGAGGGTTCATCTCCTCCTCCTCGTTGTCTTCCTCCTCCTGCTGCTCTTCTTCCTCCTCCTCCTCCTACACCTTCTCCTCCTCCTCCTCTTCCATGTCCTCCTTCTCATTCTCTACCATGTCCTCCTCCTTCTCCTCATCCTACACCTCCTCCTCCTCCATCTTCTCCTGCTCCTCTTCCATCTCCTTCTCCTCCTCCGTCTCCTCCTCTTCCATCTCCTCCTCATAAAACTTTTCCATCTCGTCCTTCTCATTCCCCTGCATGTCCTCCTCCTCCTCCTCCTCCATCTCCTCATCCTTCTCTTCCTCCTCTTCCTACAATTTCTCCTCCTCATTCCCTTCCTCCTGTCTCATCCTTCTCCTCCTCTTCTTCCATATCCTCCTCCTCCTCCATCTCCTCCTCCATCTCCTCCTCCTCCACTTCCTTCTCTTCCCCCTCCTCCTCTTCCTCCTCCATCTCCTCCTCCTCTTCCATCTCCTCCTCCCCCTCCTCCTCCTCCTCTTCCTCCTCCATCTCCTTCTCCTCCTGCTCCTCCTCCTCCTCCATCTCCTCCTCCTTCTCCTCCCCCTCCTCCTCCATCTCGTCCTCCTCCTCCTCCTCCTCCTTTTCCTCTTCCTTCTCCCTCTCCTCCTCCTCCTCATCCTCCTCCTCCTCCTCCTCCTCCGTCTCCTTCTCCTCCTCCTCCTCCTCCTCCTCCTCCTCCTCCTTTTCCTCTTCCTTCTCCCTCTCCTCCTCCTCCTCCTCCTTTTCCTCTTCCTTCTCCCTCTCCTCCTCCTCCTCCTCTTCCTTCTCCTCCTCCTCCTCCATCTCCTCCTCCTCCTCCTCCTCCTCCTCCTCCTCCTCCTCCATCTCCTTCTTTCTTCTCTCTCTCTCTCTCTCTCTCTCTCTCTCTCTCTCTCTCTCTCTCTCTCATTACAGGCCACCAGGACCTGAGCAGCCTCCCTCCTGCCGTGCCCTGTCACCACACATTTTCCTCTCTGGAGCCAGCTGACCATGGCCTGAGCCTCAGAAACCAACCACTAACATAAATCTCTCCTCCTCTAAGTGGTTTCTTGTCAGCTCTGTTGTTCATAGTGACGAAAACCCAACTCTGTACTTGGAACAAGAAACAAATCCCCGTCACCTCCCCTTGCTGCTGGGCACTCCACAAGTAGCTCTCATGTCCATGGGGAGCCTGGCTTTGGGTCCCCCACGGTGCCTGTGTACAATTCCAAAGGACCTACTTTAAGTAAATAGCGGGTTTCTCCATCCTGCAGAGACGGCCTTTACAGTGTGATCACCTCATTCTGTTCCCACTGATTCCAAAACTACCCTGGGAAGGACGTCTGAGCCCAGGACCTCGACCCCTGAGCCCCGTCCCCAGCCCTATTTTGCATTTTATTTAGAGACAGGGTCACACTGAGTTGCTTAGGGCCTCGCTTTGGCTGAGGCTGGCTTTGAACTTACCATCCTCCTGCCTCAGCCTCCCGAGCTCTGGGATGACAGGTGTGTGCCTTCGTGCCAAGCAGAGATTTTTCCATCCAAAGAGACAACACCGGTGACATCCCAGCTGATGGATGTGACGTCCCCGCCACTGCCTGAATTGCCTCTGCAGATCGCACTCCCTCAATATGACAAAATAATAAGATTTGCCCTCAAGTATCACCCCATCATGCTCAGGAGCTGAGAAATAAATCTGGAAACTTAATTCACACGGGGAGCCCTGGGCGCTCTGGGCACAGATGGAAATGACCCTGGGATCTGTCACAATGCAAGACACGTCACTTAGAAAATAAAATCCACCCACAGGAGGGAAGATGCATTTGAGGCAAAATAAAGAGAGCCACATTGTAAGCGCTCCGGCACGTTGATGCAGGAGGGCCATCTGCCCAGGTCTGCACCAATCCATTGGTGTGATAAAAAGTGACAGTGTCCCTTTCTCATCTCCACCCAGCCCTTATCTGACACATTCAAAAGAGGATTTGTCCAGGATTCTGTGTAAACAGAGAAACGCACTATCTCCCAGCACATCCAAGGGAAGGGTGTGGGCTCTGATGGACATGTCCCAGAGCCTCGCGGACGAGCATCTCATGACCCGCTGAGCAAAACAGAGAGCCATTGCTGTTTTTCTATTAATTTACTTTTAATGCCATTCAGGTTTCCCTGAGTGGATTTATTCCCAGATTTCTTTCTTTCTTTTTCTTTTTTTTTTTTTCTGGTACCAGGGATTGACCTCAGGGACACTGGACCCCTGAGCCCCGTCCCCAGCCCTATTTTGCATTTTATTTAGAGACAGGGTCTCCCTGAGCTGCTTAGGGCCTCCCTTTGGCTGAGGCTGGCTTTGACCTCAGGATCCTCCTGCCTCAGCCTCCCGAGCTGCTGGGATGACAGATGTGAGCCACCACACCTTGCCCTAAACATCATCTTTTGAGCAGGTGACCTAACATTTCTAAGTGACAATCAAAACCATCACAAATCTTGCAAACCCAGCCCCTTTGCTGAGGCAGGTCAGCGTGGACCCTCAGAGGGGACCCTGTGACCTCTTAGCCACACTCCAACAATCGTGTTTATGATGCACAACTGAATTTCAGCCGAGAAGCACAGGGTGGGCGCGTGGCAGGTAAAACGCAGGAGTCCCTGGGGCAGAAGCAGCACTTAACATCCAGGATGGGGAGAAAAAAACAAAATGTCAATGCACTATGCTTAGAAAACCTGCTTCGATGACATTTCTAGATGTCTGGAGGTCAACTGGACACCACGCCGTCACTGATTTCCATGCAAAGATTCTCCCCTGAAACTGGGGGTAGGAATAGTCTGTGATAATTTGTTGCGAATATTATTTCTTTTTCTTTCCTTTATTTTTTTATTTTATTTTTATTTTTATATTTTGGTGCTGGGGCTTGAACCCAGAAACACCTGACCACTGAGCCACATCCCCAGCTTTTTTTATTTATTTTTCATTAACAAACACGGTCTCACTAGTTTCCTTAGGGCCCCGCTAAGTGCCTGAGGCTGGCCTCCAACTTGCGATCCTCCTCCCTCAGCCTCCAGAGGGACTGGGATGATAGGCACACGTCACCGCACCAGGCCAGGCCCACCAACTCTCGAGCCCCGACGCCTGGCTTTCTTTTCGAAGTCTGTCATATCCTTGGCAACCCCTGCGTCTGTCTTTCCAGCAGAGACATCTGGAGCGTGGAGGGCACATGTGAGATGCAGACTGTGTTCATTATACCTTCTGTCCCCTGAGTGTCCTCTGGATGCCCTGAAGACACAGCCTTTAACCCACAGGGACCCAGCGCCATTGTGAGGGTGGGACCCACCAAGAAGATCATTGCAACTCTTCAGAATCTAAAGACAGGAGGATGAATGGGACATCATGACCCTGTGTGTGTATATGACCACAGGACCCTTGTGATGCTACATCACGTCCAACCGGAAGGAGGAGAAGTGACACTCCACTTACGTCCGATATGTCCAAGTGCCTGCTACTGCCATGTAGAACTAATCAGAACAAATAAAAAAATCATTAATGAAGAAAACATTTAAATGCAAAATCAGATAAATGAATATAGTGTGGTGAGTAGAAATCCAAATCACTTATGCCTTTGAGACTCAAGAAAAAAAAAAAAAAATATATATATATATATATATATATATATATATATATATATATATATACATTCGACCTTTGGTGATTTGGGATTGGCTTATTTCACTCAGCTTGATAGTCTTCAACTGTATCCTGCAAATGCCATCATTCCATTCTTCTTCATGACTGAGTAATATTCCATTGTGTATACACCACATTTTATTTATCCATTCATCTACTGAAGGGAACCTAGGTCGGTTCCATAGTTCAGCTATTGTGAGTTGAGATGCTATCAACTTTGATGTGGCTGTGTAATTATACCATGATGATTTTAAGTCCTTTAGGTATAGATGGAGGAGTGGACTGGCTGGGTCAAATGGTGGTTCCCTTCCTAGTTTCTTGAGGAATTTTCTTCAAGGGGAAATGACAGTGATGATAATTTGGGTTTTGCCTAAGGGCTCTGCAGGACAACCCTGGACACTTTGTCTAGCAACCTGTCCTCACCAGGTTGTCCGTGCCGATGATGGACATTGCTCTGCCGTAGGATCTCCTGGGACCCATGGGTCCACTCCGCAGTATGGCTCTCTTTGGAAGACTTGCCCACTGGCCATGATTGCAGGTAACCATCACTCCAGGGGCTCCTCATACTGAGCCATGATAGCATTTACTGAACTTGGGACATCTGACCTTCCTCTTGATCCATATCCGCATCCCACAGTATCTGCTTGGTCCTCTGGTGCCTACCACCAAAACCCAATCACTTCCAAATAGCCACGACATTCTCAGACACCCCGCATAGGAAACATGTTTTTTTTTAACCCATCTAAAGTCATTGCATCATTTACTTTGGTGTCCGATAAAGTTATTAAGCGATTGTCCTGTTAGTGTGAACGCAGAGAAGACCTCGACACATTTATTAACAAACATAAGTTCATTAAAGCCATCGGTGGCTACATAATTTATGGAGTGATTAATTCTGACTTAAACAATTATTTACTCGAGATTCAATTTCGCTCAGAAAAGCCGGGGTAATGTTTCTCCGGCGCAGCCATAATAAAGTTCTTATGTAATGACTAATTAGTTTCAGGGATGACAAATGTTTTAATTAAAACCAGCAGAACCCGGGGAACATTTATCACTATTTTTCTCCTTTTCCCATTATTCTCTTGAGATCGACTTTGAGTTCACCCGAAGGACGGAAACCCATATGTCAATGGCAAGATTTTTTGTTTTTTCTGGGTGATTCTGCCAATGGGGATGGATATAACTGGGAGGCACCACCTCTTTTTGTTTCCAATACTCTACAAAATATATCTGAGCACATAAAAAAATCAGTGAGCTGCTCACTCGGTTCCAGAGATGCATAATGAGTCTAAGTCACTGGAATCAAACAAAACCCCAGGGGATTTTTTTTTATGTTGCATATGGAACCAAAACAGATCCCCAAGAGGTGATTTGGACCATCTCTGTCCATTCCATTGAAGGTCTCCCTCGATTCAGTCCAGATTTGGAGGGCTCCATCCTGTCTTGCATGATCTGCAACCTTTTGGCCGCCATCTTTGTCTCTGGTGAGGAATGGATGGTCCATGGAGGTCCCCACTTGTTGGGATCTATTGGAACCTAATGTCCACCCCAATTGTGAGATAGAAGAAGTTGAACCCCTGATGGTGGTTTGGGGAGGACACCTCAGCTGGAGGATGTCCAGTGGGGTCTTCCACAAAGGCCAACACACTCTGGACTTCCATTCTCCATCTGTGTGCAGCAAATCTTTAGTGGACATCTAGTCCACTGGTTTTCCAGGTGCATCGTGCAATATCCCTGGCTCAGAAAGCCCCACATGCAAAGGTCAGAGGCTGATGTGTGTTTCTACTGTGGTCAGAATGTGTCAGTCCCGACTCTCAGGATCCATGTTAAAGTCTGAGGTAAGCAAGAACAAGATGGCAGAAGGGAGTGGATGAGAATCACAGATAAAGGGACTTGGGACAAGGTATATTCCCCAAGGACATGCTCCCAGTGCCTCACTTTCTCCATCCATGTCCCACCTGCCCACCATTCCCACCAGCCACCGTCATCCATCCAGGTGTGGATGGATTAATCCACTGATGGATTAAACCCAGATTTTAAACCTAACAAGGCCCCTTAAAAATGGACCCCAGGGGACTCCCAGCTACACGCTGGTAGCATCCAATGGATACAAGCCAATGAGGCTGGAGAGCACCCTACAATGAACCATTTCAAAAAAAAAATTCACTGTGGTCAAAACATGGTGACATCAGGACATGGGACTCCTCAAGAATTTGAAGAATAAGGAATGCTGAAAAGATGGTTTAATCCATGCAACGTCGTTGGCCAAGATGGCGGAGAAGAAGAACATGGAACCAGGGAATGACAGGTGGAGCGTTGAGAAGATGAATGGTTCTCCTGAATCTGTAGGAAGGCACCCACCAGCCCACCTGTCCATCTTGGCTAAGTGAGATCCATGCACTTGGAACATCTCAAGGTGCAAGATCATCAGATTGGGGTGGTGCCAAGCCGCCATGTTTGTGCTCATTTTTTTAACGGCCCTCAAAAAACTCACAACAGTTTATGATGCGGTTCCTTCATCCACGGATGTAGACCGCACCTCTCCGTTCCTCATTGATGGGTGTTCTCCCCTCATCTCTGGTTCCCAGACACACGTGTGAAAATGATGAGTCTTATTCTGGACAGAACTTCCAAAGCCAGTGGGAAGCCACTTGTTTTCTCATTTCCTTCTATTTCAAAACCCAACAATATTCGAGAAGTGAGTTCCCCCATTCACCCTGGAAACTGAGTCAAAGGAAAGCTAAACTATTAATCAAAAACTCACCACCAAGGAATGATGAATGTGTGAGGAGATGAAGATGCTCTATATCTCCATTCGATTTTCACACAATACGTGGAAGTATTATACGCCTGTTAAAAATGAAATTAGAAAAGAATTCACACAGGAACTTCCACAATAAAACCTATAAAACAAAACTCAGGCAATTTATGTAATGTCTTCAAAAACATTGCTAATAATTTATACATCTAAGTGTTTTCAAGATGAATTTTTACTTAAGATCTTCATGTTTTGTTTCGTTTTAAATCCTGAGATTCTTGAAATTCTTCCCTTGGTTGATTTTGTTTTTTTTTTTTTTCATTTTGAATTTTTTGACCCAATTTGAAATTAAACATCAGAGGCACTAGTTTTTCCAATCTTTTTAATTTCACTGTGGATCTTCACACCTTTCACCCATCAGAGTGAACCAACAGAAAGAGGGGTAGGAAGCATCTATCGAAATTGCAATATTCACAGGGAAGACATGAGCATTTGGGGGAATTGTTTGGGGTTTTCTTCTCCATTATATTCTTCTTGTTGTTTTATTTTTGTTTATAATACATTGGCCACAAACCCACTTCCAAACATATCTCTGAGCATTAAATTTATCAAATACTAGGAAATCTGCTCTACACAGCAAATTTGAATGATTTGACTTGATTTCCTGTACGTTTTTCCAAAAAAAAAAAAATCTCTCCTGGTGCATACATCATTTTTTAAATCTATTTTAGTGGCTACCTTGCAAAGGCACATTTTCTTTTTCATAAGCGCAATCATTGACTGCGGTATGCAGACGGCCTATTACTTAATTAACACCAGTTAATTAGTCACTTTGCACCTCCAGATCTTCATATGGTCTTTGCATTATTTATGTGATGGTATTTTACCTGAGAGCATCTCAATGGCATATGGTGGCCACATTTGATTTAAAAAAAAAAAAGTAGTTTATTCTCTAGGTATTTGCATTTATGTTAATGGGCAAGACATTAGTGACCACAGAAAAGCAACCTTAGATTATTTCCGAGAAAAAGCTTCAAAATATCAGCAATATTTGTTGAGGCTGAAATATGCAATATCACTTCCACCAAGTTTCCTACGTACATCTGTGAATACACCACCGTGAACCTCACCGTCATCTACATCCACAAGAAATTAAAAGAAATAACCGTGTGCAATGGCAGAAATAGAAAGCAAGAAATTTGATCTTTTTCATATATGAGTAACACTTTTATTACTAAGCTCTTGGATGCTTTTCTAATATTTGCAAGAAAAAGTGACATATTAGTTTATCAGGAAGTGGTGGAATCCAGACAGCATGAGTTTGAGTCTCGTATTGATCCCAGGTGGTCTCGTTAGGAACGAATTCAGGATGTGAGTCTTGGGACATCTCTACATCCCAAGAAAAATAAATCTTTAGATCAATCATAAAATGCTGGACAAAGATGCAAAATCCATGGTTTGCATTTAGGTCACTCATTATATTCCAGGTTGGATGTCTCTTCAGTCTCTGACGCCTGTGTGTCCCAAGGACGCTGAGTTACAATAGTCTGATTCACATACCTTGAAATCACCAAAGCAGGGACGTAGAGTTTAAAAACGGAAAACAAGTATATAAAAAAGGTTTAAAAAAATCAAAAAGAGACAAACTCACATTATAACAAGTCACTGGTGCAAGAACTAAATCACCCTTGGAAGGAAGGCATTAAACCTTATCACTAAAGTCCGCATACCTGAAATACCATTACATCATGGGCCAAACTCCAACCTGAGTTTTGGAGGAGACAAATGACATCCAAACCATGCATGGAACATTCCAGAAACCCCAAACTATCAGGACTCGAGTGGCCAACTATAGGTATTCAACGTTACATGTCACTGGTTTTTAGTCTATTTTGCCTAATTTCTTTTTATCCTTGTTCTTCTACATCATTGAATCTGCTCTTTGCAATTCCAAGATTTCACAAAGCACTTTTTACCATAGGTGGAGCTGTTCCTACACTCAAAGAAGTTTCAGGGGTATTTTTACATTCATTTGGAACTTGTTTTAGGAGTGTTTTTGCATTCAAGTATAAGAAAATAAAGAACGATCTTCTCTTTCACTACCTGATCGTTACTGGGATTTACATGATTTTGAATGAGTTCATTTCAAGCTCAGATTTGATAAATGATGAATTTCAATTATCCCTTGAATCAGAAAATCCTAAATATGTAAATGGAAAAATAAGTGAAAAATATAAAGATGAAAAAGGAATGAGTAAACATATTCAAAATGCTCAATTACGAAACTAGATTGGAAAGTGCAGAGTACAAACAATTAAACATAATTTTTGCCTAAATTTAAATTAAGGGAAGAGAGACAGGTAATATTAGGTGAATGCTTCAACAAAATATAATCATTTTTCTGCCATTATCCTGGAATTGTTAACCACAAAATTTAGTGTAAAAGAAAATATATAATTTAAATTAATAAATACAGGGGGGGAGCATGCCTGAAAAATTACTATTTTTTAAAGTCATTCTGATTGTGAGCCTATAAATTGAAGGCAGAAAATGAAAACGCTACTCAGAAATATCACATCAGCCAGCAAGAATCATGTTGGGCATCAACCGGCAAAAATAAGTCGCTCTTGTTTATAACAATAATGTTAGAAAATATTACTCAAAAAAAGTAACTTCACATTAGCATCACACAAAGATGGGAATTACTCCAAAAAGGTAACTTTCAGTCATGAATATTTTTAATGACCTCTGTGTGGTTTAAAACAAGATGGTAGATAGATTTGGTTATTAACCAACATTAATGGATATAATATGTGATAAGCTTTTGAATATTTCAAACTATTGTTTAATTGTATGACTGACCTCTCTATCAAGGCTTCTTTCTTTCTCTATGACATTCCCTACCACCATCCTTAATATAGAACCTAAAACTGAGATGCTATGGAGTTAGTTTTCCTTCTTTGTACAGATGTTTCCTTCTGTGGTCTTCTGATATGTTTCTTTCCACTTGTTTGCCTTGTAATCCACCAAACTCGATTCCTTTCCCAAGGAATTTCTTACTGCTGTGACAGTGGAGGCCTATTCTAGTGTCTCCAGCATGTCATCTTACTAACATGGAATGTTTCTGCCCATGGATACCTGCGACGTCCTTCACTCCCATTATTATCATCATCTTCTCCATCTTGATTTTTTAAAAATATTTTTTAGTTGTCCATGGATCTTTATTTTATTTATTTGCAGGAGGTGCTGAGAATCGAACCCAGTGCCTCGCACATGCTAGGCAAGCACTCTACCACTGAGCCACAACCCCAGTGTCGCCATCTTGATTTTTATATCATTTTTAGGTTCCATCATCTTCTCATGTATTCTTTTCTTTCTCGTTGGCTGTTTGGTTAAACCATTCAAATTCACTTTTTCCAAAAGGACAGTTTACATTCATATCTTTTCTCTGTTTTTTTTTTCCTTCTGCAAGTGTAATTCTTTCCAAAAAGAGATTCCTTATCTCTCTACAAGTTTTTTCTCCCATTAGGTTGGGTGTCTATTCTTTGTATTAACGTGTCACAGGCAGACGGACTTCTCCACATGCTGTATCTAAGTGAATCTTCACATCAACATAGAAGTGTTATCCTACCCTCATTTGCCATGTGGAGAAATTATTTTGGCAATGCTTTTTATCATTCATCCAAAACATACAGCTCAATCTCTAGAACTGACGGTCAAACACAATTCTTTCTAAGTCCCTGGACATTATGACTCACATCTTTCTTCTTCTTGTCCTTAGCAACGAACAAAGAAAAGTCTCATCCTCTCCTTCTGAGTTCAAATCTTAGATGTCCTCAAATGTGCCTCTTTGGGGACACCATCAAGATCCATTTAATGTGCATTAACAAAGCCACCACCATGACAAACATCTATCCCGTGTCACAGTGCTTCATTGGAAGTCCATAGTTATCAGCTCTGCTAAATAGAAGATCTACAAGGTCTTTCTCATCTTTTTTTTATAATGTCTTAGCATGTGTTGCTATAACAAATATGCTACAGACTGTGCAGCTTAAACAAACAAACAAAAAAAACACATTTATTTCTCACAGTTCTGGAGGCTGAAGAGTCCAAGATCCAATTGCTGGTGGATGTTGTCTGTGGTAAGGACTCTATTCCTGGTTTGCAGACAGCCACCTTCTGGTTGTATCTACACATGTTGGAGAGAAGAAAGAACCAGCAAGCTCTGTCATTTTTTTTTTAAGATGGCACTAATCTCAAAACGAGGGCTTTGCTTTTTGACCCATCACCTCCCCAAGTCTCTCCTCCTATTGAAAATCCCATTGGGTGCCATGATGTCAACATACAAACATGCACAGATGCACATTCAGTCCTTTCTGAGCTCCTAGAGGAGAATAACTATTTTTCTTGCCATTTCCAACACAAGATTTTTTTCCCATTTATTTTAAATTCTGATTCCCCACAAGTCTTGGAAAAATCACTATTTTTCCCCCAAAGTTATCCACTGGAATTTTTCTGTTCTTGTTCATCAAGTTCACCCACATTTCCCAGAGGAAATTCGAGCCCTAATTAAGCTTTCAAGACTGCACCATCCTATAAAAACTACATAATTAAAAGATCCTTAGGACGAGGAGATGCCAGAATGCAATTTTACGCATACACACCTGTCCATATCCCAGCGCCAACATAAGATGTTTATGTTCTGCAGGGAACAGGTCTTATCTGGGGGACAGGGGAGGAAAAACAAGAGAAGCTATCAGAATAATGACCATCAGTAATTGCTTCCTTAAAAAAAATAAATCTCTTTTATCAATTAATCACATTTATCACCTGGTAAAGTTTAGGATGCTGACTGCATGCAGCCCTGAAGCAGAGAAACACTGAATCAGCAATCACTTCTCTGCTTTGTCCTTAAGATTCTTTCCCCACCTCTGCAAAATCTGCCAAATTCTCAGGCAAAGCAGCAACCCACCTTGAACACACAACACTGCGTCTTTACCTTTTCATGATTTTGCTCTCAACCATGTTAGGCTGAAACCCTCCCAGTAGGACGGCACTGGACAGTAGGAATTCGGTGGAAGGAACCAGAGGAGATAGGTGGCCCATTGTTGACCAAAGGGTCATTTTCAAGTCTTTGGCTGTCTTTGGAAAAAAATGTTTCCACTCTGGTTTTCTTTCTTAGATATTTTCATTACTAGGAAGAAGATAGATGAGAGAGTTAGATTTTGTATTTTGCATCGACTCCTGTGTTTTATTTCTGCTGCTTCCTGTCTTCCCTGAGTGAAGAAGCTTTCCTCCACCAAGCCTGTCCGCCATTTTGTTCTGCCTTCGCTGAGACCCAGAGCCATGGGGCCATCCCAGATTGGACTCAGACCTCTGAAATCATGAGCCAAAACCAACTTTTGCTCCTGTCAGTTTCTCTTGGTGGGGAGATTGGTCATAATGATGCCACAGTGATGCATATTTGAAACAGGAATGGAGAATATCTGGAATTTTCCATTTCAGAATGTCAGTCCACCATTGACCACTTTCTGAAAAGTGAAATGGCAGATAAAATTGAATGGACATCTGGACACCCGTACACCTGCAAATGTACTTGAATGTGCCCACCACCTTGGTTGGCTCCAGTCCATGATGATGATCCATCTGGACACATTGGACTCCCGCCCATCATTCCCTGGGAATTGATTATGGGACACCTCCTTCATTCCTGAAGCAGATACCTTGGAAGGAGGAATTGTGGAGGTGCTTGTCACACAATTCAAATTTCAAGAACTGGGCCATGATTCCAGGTGGCCCAGTAAGTGACCTCCAGAACCACATTCTTCAAATAGAGACCATGAAATAAAAGCTGAGAAAGATATTCTGTTCTCGGAGAAACTTTTTGCAGCCAATTTGAGGTGAGTGAAGGAGAAAGAGAGGAATTGATGGACCATTTTCTCAGGAGGGTTTTATGGGCCTGGAAAGGGAATGTTTTCTGATGACTAAGACATTATGTGCCTGGGGGTTGAGTACAGTCCATTAATTACACTAAAGTCGTCACTTTAAGGAAAAGGGCATTCCTTTTGCACAGAAGACACTAAATCTGATAGGAGAGGTACAAATTGCAAAACAATCAGTTTTTCTGTCAGTGAGAAACCTTTACTGAATGCTCCCGAGCACCATCGAGCTCATAAAAAATATCACACAAAGTGAAGGTCAAGGGGAAAAACTGTTTAGAAAGAGGATATTAAGGTTCCCCATGGAAATTTTAAATCCTTTCAATAGGGAGTCTTTCTATATTCAAGATACCAAATTGAAAATTGGATATTCTTGGAAGAAAAAAAAATTCAATGTCTTGGTAAATGTATTTAGAGATGGCAAGAAATGAAAATAATAATGCTGATGGTTGTAGTTTAGATATGAGGTGTCCCCCAAAAGCTTATCTGTCAAACAAGGTAAGAAGGTTTAAAGGGAAAATGATTGGATTTTGAGAACCTTAACCTACTTGGTGGATTAATCCACTTGAATGGACTCACTGGGTGGTAACTGCAGCAGGTGGGGTGTGGCTGGAGGAGGGGGTCCCTGGGCTGTGCCTTTGAGGTCTCTATCCTGTCCCTGGTGAGCAGAGCTCTCTCTGCTCCCTGGTGCCCTGTCCTGAGCTGCTCTCCTCCTCCAGGCCCTGCCGCCATTTTGTTCTGCTCCCCTTGGGCCAGAGCCATGGAGTTGGCCAAATTGGACTGAAATTCGAACACCATGATCCTCAAGAAAGTTTTCATCCTTTATGTTGTTCTTGTCAAATATATTGGGTCACAGCAACACAAAACAAGCACAAAATTTAAACCATGAACTCTTTATTTCTGTAATTTTCCATTAATATTTTTGTAACAAAACCAACCACTTTTTGAAATCAAAGAAAGTAAAATGACAGAAGACAGTAAACCACAGTTTGCCCCCAATTCACTCTCCAAGGCACCCTTTCAGAAGGAAGTATTCATTCCCATCTAGCACATTCTGAATATTATGCATCCACCACCAATATCTAGTTACAAATATATTTTTTTCCACCCAGTATCCATTAAACAGAGACTCCCTATTTCTTTCCCCCATTTCCTGGCAACCCTAACCTGATCTCTTTTTTTTTTTTTTTTAATTGAATAAGTATTTGGAATGTTTCATTAAAGTAGAATAATTATCTGTAACGTTTTCTGGGTGGTGTATTTCACCAACATAATGTTTTCTAGGTCCATCCATGATATAACCAACATTGCTTTTTCATATTTTCTGTGGCTCAGTAATATTCCACTGTGTGTGCATTTTGTGTGTGCGTGTGGTGTGTGTGCGTGTGTGTGTGTGTGCACATGAACATCAGAATTTGTTCATCCATGGAAAAATGAGTGAACACTTCGATTGCTTGAAGTTTGTGGCTGTTGTGAATCACCTTGGATGAGGTAAATTCATGACACTCTCATTTCTAAAAGCACCTTGATCAACACATACTTGTAAGCATAATGCACGCCATAACCTGGGTCACAATTGTTCTCAAAAGACCCGTGAGTGAAAGGCTGGGTTCCCCAACATGACACCATTGGGAGTTGGTGGAGACCAGATCATTCGGGGTGTAACTTGGGAATGGATTGTGGGACCCCATCCCTCTCTCTTCTTTCTCCATGACAATAAGATGACGACTTTGGCTCCACCAATCATGGCCCTGCATGATTTTCTGTCTCACCCATGGGCCCAGAGCAAAGGGGGCCATTCAATCATAGACTGGAACCTCCAAATGTCTGAGGTAAACCTTTTCTCTTTATAAACCAAATATCTCATGCATTTTGTGACAGTTCTGGAAACATACCTAACACATTCTATTATCATGTCCTTTTGCTTAATCTCCATTTGAAATACTCACCATCTAATACTCTTTCCTGGGGATTTAAAAAAATCTGGTTATTAAACCTTCTCAGGAGTGGGTATTTAAGAGTCTTCAGGGGAAATATCATAACTTTGTTAGACTCTTTGCTTCCCAAACTTTTCTTTTGTTCAAAGACTCACCCTACATCTTCTCCCTGTGGTTCCTATTAACAAAGTGCTGAGTCCAATTTATATTTCTTGCAACCCAATAAATGGGAGCGAGTTAGCCAATGTTGCTATGTCAGTCTTAATTACGTGACATGCCAAGTAACCTTCCAGGAGTGGAGTTGGATTTTCTTTCTCCCTCTTCCTAATGGCGCATGGCCCTTTGAAGCTCTTGAGTGAAAGAGAAAGTCACACAAAAGACTCAGAAGGGCTGGAGTCCATGCCCTGTGGAGGCACAACTTCAGAAAGGTGAGAGAATCAAATAGAAATTTGGAGAAAGAAATTGGAAACTAAGGTCACACTTGTCTTCCCTGGGGAATAGGACACATTCAAAATGGTGGACTCCACATGGCGTGTTGGGATGCATAGAAGGGAAGGAAGAGGGACAAAGGGGGAGGGTTTGAGCCAAGAGAAGACAACCCTGGAATATTCCAGAGATGCACCCTGTAGGGGTCAATGGGTGCCTAGCTGTGTCCAGGTTTTGGTGCGTTTTCCTGAGACGGCTCAGCCTGGGGCATGGCTTGCGATAGAGAATGAGTGATGGACATGGTCTCTATGGAGGCTGCAGCAGCTTCTGCCTCTACGAAGGCTCCTGAGAGGCAGCCATGCAAGACTACCACCAACCCGCTCACGAATGCACTGCAACGATTCTCTCCACCCTGACTTTTATTTCTTATATTTCAAGTAAACCCTTGTAGGGTTTTAGAAAGTGAGAGTGTGGTGATTTCTGGGCAGGCGAGATGATTGGGTTATGAGAGGTGTAGCCTAATAGTGGATTAATCCACTTGAATGGACTCACTGGGTGGTGACTGCAGCAGGTGGGGTGTGGCTGGAGGAGGGGGTCCCTGGGCTGTGCCTTTGGGGTCTCTGTCCTGTCCCTGGTAAGCAGAGCTCTCTCTGCTCCCTGGTGCCCTGTCCTGAGCTGCTCTCCTCCTCCAGGCCCTGCCGCCATTTTGTTCTGCTCCCCTTGGGCCAGAGCCATGGAGTCAGCCAACCACGGACTGAACCTCTGAAACCCTAAGCCCAAAGAGACTTTTCCTCCTCTACCTACTTGCTCAGACAACGTGTGTGTTTTCTCATTTGTCCTCCTTAGCATTTGGTTTCCCAAGACCCTCCTGTTGCACATGGAACTGAGACACATACCCCTGGACACAGTCATCGATCCATGTTTTAGAGTCAGCTCAAGAAGCATCCATCCGATAAGGACTCACCAAAGGAAAACTCTGCATGCTCACTGCCTTGTATCCAAAGAGGAGAAGTGCAGGACAGATTCTCAAGAAAGCCACAGCGGAGCCTCATTGATTGTTAAGGAACATCCCATCTGTCCATCAAGGTGACATTCCACTTCCTGTTTCTCTTTGGTCTCTACTGATGCAGCATAGAATCCACCATCTCAGAAAGACCAGGCAGGACATTGCAATGAGTGCAAAGGGTAGAGGATAAACAAATATGTAGGTAGACGTGTATAGGTTCAGTAGATATGTAATATGTAATGTATGCATGATTATGTGCACACTTGCCTTCTATAGATAGTGGATGGATGGATGGATTGATAGATAAATTGGATGGATGGATGGATGGATGGATAAATGGATGAATGGATGGATGGATGGATGGATGGATGGAAGCATGAATGGATGGTTGGGTATGTGGAAAGATGGATGAATAGACAGATAGATAGATAATCACTTTGCAAAAGATGTCATCCAACTCTGCCAACTAAAAGTGGATGGCTGGTGGGACTGCAAATTGGTGCAACTACTATGGAAAGCAGTATATAGATTCCTCAGAAAATTGGAAATGGATTCACCATTTGACCCAGTTATCCCACTCCCTGGTTTATACCCAAAGGACTTAACATCAGGACACTATAGGGACACAACCACATCATGTTTATAGCAGCTCAGTTGACAATAGCCAAGCTATGGAACCAACCTAGGTGTCATTCAACAGATGAATGGATAAAGAACATGTGGTATATATACTCAATGGAATATTACTCAGCTTTAAAGAAGAGTGAAATTATAACATTTGCCAGTAAATGGTGGGAGTTGGAGAATATCATCCTAACAAAATAAGCCAATCCCACAAAACCAAAGGCCAAATGTTTTCTCTAATATGTGGATGCTAATTCACAATAAGGTGGAAGGCACTAGGGAAGAATCGTGTTACCTTAGATTAGGTAGAGGGGAGTGATGGAAGGGGAGTGGAGGGGATATGGGGATAGGAAAGATGGTAGAATGAGACACATTATTATTGTATGTACATATGTGAGTGTGTGACCAATATGATTTTGCAACATGCACACTCAGAAAAATGAGAAATTAGGGGCTGGGCTTGTGGCTTAGCCCAAGAGCTCTCGCCTATCACGTGCAAGGTGCTGGGTTCGATCCTCAGCACTCCATAGAGATGAAGAAATAAAATAAAGGCATTGTGTCCAACTACAAATAAG